CAGTGCTGTTTACATTATATACATGATTAAGATAGGATACTTTTATTGGCCAACTGATTTATCAACCAGTTGATTTCTGGGACCGATTTCCCTAATTTTGGGGGATTGTGATTGGCCGATGCTTACACATGAAGCCTGCCCCCTCAAGGGCGGCTTCAAGACGCCCTAAAACAGAAAAAGTACAACAACAAAAAACAAGCTAACCAGGGTGGGCAGAGTGGTGCGGAGAACCCACTTACTGGGTCGGGCCACGCCACCAGCCATGCCGCCTGGGACACCATGACCATGGGGACAGAGGAGACGGCAGCGGCTGAAGACGGGCTCACAGTGAGAGGTGAAACGCAGAATGGCTGCAGCGGCGGCGAGAGACGAAGATTTTGCAGCAAGTATCTCTTTGTCTCAAAGGGGAAAGGGCAGCTGCATTGTCAGTGTGGCCTGCTTTTTTTTATATATCCATTTTTCCTTCAAGCTGTGTTTACACATGCTTCAATTGATTTACACTCAAGCTTCCCCCTTTAACTTGAGGAAGCTACTTTCTTTTGTTAAATGTGAAAAAAGATTAAAAATACCCACTATCTGCCTTTTAGATAGCTACTTTCTTTTGTTAAAAGTGAGAAGATTAAAAATACCCACTATCTGCCTTTTAGATATCTACTTTCTTTCATTAAAGGTGAGAAAAGATTTATGCATCCGGCTGTATTTTCCTTGCTTTTAAAGAAGGATAAAGACCCTTTGAGCTGCAGTTCATATCGCTGATATCGCTTCTAAAAACTGATGCAAAAATTGTTGGCGAATCTAGTCGAACAGATTATCCCCACAATTGTCTCACCTGACCAGACGGGTTTTGTTAAAAATCGTAAATCCTTCTTTGATGTCAGGTAATTGTTCAATGTGTTGTATACTTCCGCCCCGCCTGGTCACATCTGTGATAAGATTTTAACGTTGATGAGAAAGCGTTTGACCGGGTGGAGTGGAACTGTCTCTTTAAGACAGTGGTTCTTAACCTGGGTTCGATCGAACCCCAGGGGTTCGGTGAGTAGGTCTCAGCGGTTCGGCGGAGCCTCTGCCGCGTAGGTAAAGACACACTTGCGTAAAATCGTGATGACGCGCCGCTTTGCCATCACTTGCTGCAGAGGATTACGTTACATTGCTTAGCCAATCAGAGCTCCGGAGGAGCACTGATTGAAGGAGTTCCACTCAGCATGGATTTGAACTTGTGTCTTTAATTACTTCAGCAAAGCTCACAGTTTTTACCAAATTCTGTAGCTTTCGGTGTACTTCTAAAGCTGCAGCAAACAGAAAGGGGCGGGGACGGACCATTGTCAGTCTCATACCTTATTTGGAAATGGGTCCGTTGCAGTCCGGAAGTGAAGGGGGCACAATTTCCTATCCACGATCTCCCGTTTTAAATTTCTTTTGAAATCTGTGATATAGCTTTTTCTTTAGGAAGGAGTTTCTCTCTCAGGATGTATTTGAACTTCTCTCTTTCATTTACTTCAGCGCAGCTCACAGTTTTTAAGAGTTTCCGTTGCTTTCTGTGTACTTCTAAATCTGCTCCTTAGTCGCATCTTTTCTGGCCTTCTACTTCCTCTAGTGGCGTGAGGGTGGTAACACAACTAATCTAATTACATTACTAAATCAGAATACAGCAAAGTCTTTATTATTTATTATTAATTTTTCATTCTATTAAGAATGTAGAGCTAATTAAATTATCTAAACAAGACCTTAAAGTGGTTCCAGTTTCTCTCGATGACCAACCTGTTGAAACTGTGGCAAATTTTAAATGCCTTGGGACGTCCCTGGACAGTCAGCTCAACTTTGCTGAAAACACTGACTATATTTTGAAGAACTGTTCTCAGAGACTCTACCTTTTAAGAAGACTTAGTGATCTTGGGGTGACCCAACTAGATTCTAATTGTGTCACCCCTATGTCTTGAATTTTTGGGGAAAAAAATCATTTTATCACTACAGAAGGGTTCAGTGAATGTGCATATGAAACTGGTGGGTTCGGTACCCCCAAAAAAGGTTAAGAACCACTGCTTTAAGACCTTGGAGATGTTTAATTTCAGCCCTAAATTTGTTTCATGGGTGAAGATGATGTATACCTTGACAATGGCAACAGTACGCACTAACAGTAATCTATCCAGTTATGTTGAATTGAAATGTGGTATGAGGAGGGGGTGCCCACTCTCACCACTCTTATTCGCAATCGCAATTGAACCACTCGCAGTGGCTTTGCAGAATAGCCCAGAAATTATAGGTATCAATCGGTTTGGCACTGAACATAAAGTTTCTTTATATGCTGATGATACACTTCTTTATATTTCAGATCCCTTGTCTAGTATTACTGAGTTACTTATTTTACTTCAAAAGTTTGGAAACATATCTGGCTTTATCTGGCTTTTTTGAAGGTTAGCCTTCAAAAAAGTGAATTGATGCCTGTGACCTCAATAGAAGAGCAGCATATGGGTCCAGCTCCTTTCAAAAGCAGCTCTGTCAAATTTAAATACCTTGGTATTTGGTTTACTCACAGTCACAAAGATCTCTAAAACTATC